TGAGGTGGCATTTGTGTCACAAACCTGAGGAGAGAGATCCAGTGCAAGGTAGGCAGAGGTCAGGGGCAGGTTCTGTGGGCTTGCCAACCCCCAAGCAAGCATCATACTGTGTAAATGCACAGGACAAGAAATCTAAGCCGGCAGGGAGGTTGACGGGGTTTGGTTTGAGGTTATGCATTTTCTCAGCTCCTGGCTGGTGTGAGATTATGGTGCTGGTGGCCTATTTTGATGGAAACTGGCATGAGCTCATAGTGTGCGTGGAATGGTCCCTCATGCCTTCCACTTTCTGGTTGATAATGCCATGCCAGTTCTCTGAGCCCTGGCGATGTTCACAAGGGCCAGTTAGGAGGACGGCCTGCCAGTACTAACCATCCAAAGACATGCCCTCCCCCTGGCACTGTGTTCCTTATTTGCCCAGAAGCCCACATCCTGCTTCCCACAGGTTCCTTCAGGCTTTCCAAGATGAAAATCAAGGCTATTTTCAAGGAGCCTTTGGGAGTCTTCGAGGTTCACCTAGAAGGAAGTTGAAAATTGTATCACCAATCTTAGGATCTCTGCATTGGGCAATAGCCAGATGGTTCATACCACAATCAATCAAACACACCTAACTTGTTCCCACAGATTAGCCAAACTGTTAACAAAGTCCCTCACTTCCTTCATATTGATTTATGACAGCAATAGAAATTTATACCACCTGGGAAGGCACACCTCCTTTTCACCCTGGAACTTATAAATATCAAGGAATTTCTATTCAAATTGAGAGTATCCAGCAAAATGGGGATCTCTACTGTTATCCTTGAAATATGTCTGTTATGGAGTCATGTTCTATCTGAAGGTATGATGCCTAATTATTTATGTTCACTAATTTCACTCCTGGTACCCAAATCCTGGTGGATTAGACAGACCTATTTCTGATGTGTGACTGTCCATCTTAAGGGTTTTTTTGTTCAAGCAGGGGGAGGAAGTTCTTTGCTGATAATTGTAAATATTTACAAATAGAAGAAATACTTTTGTTTGTTTTGTTTCTGGCTGATAGAAACTGTGACAGTTTAGAAGTCAGTCATCCTGTCGAGGTTTTCAGGGACTCTTCAGTGAAGGAAATGATTGATTGGGCTTAGAAAAGTCCCCTGGTTCAGGAAAGGCTTATGGGTATTAGGAAGACATTCTAACCCTTGCATTAATGGGCTAGACACATGGGTTGTATGCTGTAAAAAGAGGCAGAGTCCTGTTGTAACGGCTCCTCGTGTGCCTTTTCCCTGTCGTGTGCTTGGCTCTGTGATCAATATTTGCCAAGCAGAACTGGGTCAGATAACTGACATAGATAAGCACGTTAGGCTTCCAAGTTGGTGCCAGTCACTTACTTGCAGGTCAGTTACTCTAACATGGCTCTGAGCTCTCAGAGTGTCAAATGATGAGCATGGAAGAGCTGCTGGTGAGTCCTTGGGATGGCTGAAATCTCAGTGTCATCTTACAGAGGACCATGTAAACAAGCAGACCTGCCTGACTGCCTGGTCTCTCTCTGTGTCTCTTGTCTGTCTTGTTTCTTCTGTCTGTGTCTCTTGGTGTCTTTTATCTCCTTACCTCCCCATCCCTCAGTCTCCCCCTCTTTATTCATTCCTTCCTTCCTCTTCTTTCTCCTGACCTTTCTTTTTTTCTTTTATCTGCCCTGCCAGTCCCATCCCTCTTTGGTGTGACTTTTGGCTAAATTTGTGAACTTCAGGAGATAAAGTAAAATTCACCTCCTTTCCAGATGATTTCCAGAGTACTCATTTTCTGCAGGCTGCGTGAGGGAAATCTAAAGACTTTCCTGAGAACAGCTTCCCAAGGGCAAGGCGTCAGGTCTGCACAGTGGATCCATGCTGATCAAGGTGCCCTCTTGTAAGGAGGGCATTGAAATCTAGCTTGGGGCATCCTGGGGCTTGGTAGGCTGTCTCCCTGGAGAGTGTGAAATGGGAGGCAGGCACCAACTTTCATGGGGATAGACTTGTTCTGGTTCTGCACAGGAACCTAGACCTCCCTTCAGTTTTGGAGGGCAGCAAGCCAATTGCCCTGTCTTTATCTACAAAGAGACAAAGGCAGCAGTGTCCTGGGACTGAGAAAGTTTGTCATTTAACATGCCTCATGTGTGCTTATGTACAGCTACACATGTGTGCACACCTGCCTGTGTCTACTTGGGTTCCTACATGTCCATGTACACTTGTGTGCACCGAGAAGAGCTGACCCTCTCCCACATGAGCCTCTTCTCTAATTCAAACCTGGCAACACCCCGAAGTTAGACACTATCTCCTCCATGGTTCAGATGGGGGACCAAGGCCCAGGACAGCAGCTGGCTGGAGGCTGGGCCAGGATTTGAACCTGGAGTAAGGCCTGTTAGCAGCTGAGAAGCAGCAGCTACAGTTGGTTAGCCCTGGCCTTCCCCAGTAGGGAGCAGAAAGGAGCCATCCCTACCACACAGGTGACTTTCTTAGCTCAATCTTTGCACAAAGCTTGAAGAAGTCAGGGTGCCCATGTCATGCTGGGTGGGAGAGAGGTTGGGGCGCCACTGCTGTCCCAACCCAGTAGTTGTCTTTGATTGGACCTTGCCATGGACCAGCTGTGGAGCTACAGTAAGCCTCAGTTTACTCATTTGCAAATGGACCACTTTCTCTGTTCTACAAAGGGTTGTAAAGGAATGAGGTCATCCAGGCAGGGTCTTGAGTGTAGCATGAACTTGGAAGGACCAGCTGTCTTATTCTAGGCATTTTCCTAGTGTTTTATCCAAATGTAGTTTCCCCAGCATAGTGTGGGTCTTGGCTTAGCTCCTGGGAAAGGAGTCTTAGGAACAACCCAAATAAAGTCAGCTGAGAATGGTAGGAGGGTACCCTGCTGTGTGACAAGCCAGATGCAGTGTGCTAGCATTAGAGGAAACTGCGTAAGGGGTCTTTAAAGTCTAAAATTAGTTCCAAACAGTTATTGTTTAAAATCACTTCCTTCGGTGCCGTTTCTCCATGGCCAACATTTTACAGAGTGAGGGAGTTGCTTATGAACGCATTCCTGGTGGATCGTTCACATTCATACTTCTCGTTGCCGCAGTGTAACTGGAGCTACGGCCATCATTAATTCCTTGGAGAGGAAGGGGAAGTCTGAAGGATGGACTTTCAGGTGTTGTGAAGATATTTTTAACAGGAGTGCTGTTTGGATGGGTGAGGCTTTTCTGAGTCACTGAAATAATGGGCCACACAGTTGTCAGGGCAACCCTTTTGTCACCTGGCCCTGCTATACAGCTACATCATGGGAACCTGTCTGCTGAATGCCATTGAACACGGGGAGCCTGAGACTTCGCCTAGTGCCAAGTCTCAGCCTGAAAGCTGGCATTCAGCACCCCGCAGTCCCATCACTGTGTCCGGTGGTTTTGTGCTCTGCCCCAGCAGCCTGCCCTCACCATGTGCTTCAGTTCCCACATGTTCCTTCTGTTTTCTGTTTTATTTTTTTTTTACTTTATTGAGACAGGGTCTTTCTATATAAACAGGCTGCTGACCTTGAACTCTAATTCTACTGCCTCAGCCTCCCAAGTGCTGGGATTACAGTGTGAACCACTGTGCTCAATACGTCTGGTTTTATTGATTCTCCTTATTTTCAAGGATAGCTTGCAGTTCACTCTCTTACAATGCAAAACAGTCATCCTGCGCTCCAACAGCACCACCTATAGCCAAATCAGATCACTCCCGTTGCTCTGGTTACCGGGAGCTAGCTCAGTTTTGTCCTCCTCCAGCCTCTGCCTGGTTAGTTCTAACTGCTGGTTCTAAATTACGAGGACATTGTCCCTTTTAGAAATCTCTCCCTGATTTATGCTCAACACACTTAGACACACACACACACACACACACACAGATATAATTCTATGTATATACAAGAAGATACATACATGGACACAAACACGCAGGCAGACATATAACATATATACTCACATGCAAATGTTGTCACGCAGATATGGAAACAGAGACAGACTCATAACACACACACACACACACACACACACACACACACACACACACAAAACAGAGACACACAGACACACAGATACACACCTGCATAAACACACAGGCACACAGACACACGGACACTGTGTGCTGCCCTGTGGCTACCATTCATGTTTTCCCATCACATCTGGACTAGCACTTGTCCCCGAAAGTGACTATCTGTGGGTGTCTCCTGGGGCGCCCGCTATGTTGGAAGTCTTTGAGGGCAGGGACCATGCCTCATTCACTTAGTAACCAACTTGGTTCTTGCACCAAGAGCCTAACAGAATGCCTGGCTCACAGGACTGTACTGGAGCAGGCAGAAAGAGAAGTAGTACTGTGAGCAAACCCAACTTGGTCCTCCTGATCCTGAGCAGTGCTGCTGTTTCCTTGTATATATGCACACGTGTATACACACACACATATACATACACACATATACGAAACCAGGAACAATAGCAACCACATCCTCATCATTACTGAGCACAATTATCTCTCAATTTTCACAGGGGATTGGTTCCAAGACCTACCCTGCTTATATAAAAAATGCTCAGATGATCAGCCTCTCATAAGTTGACACTTCCAGTCATTTCTAAATACAAACTGATACAATGTAAATGCTGTGCAAGTCTCATGGGATCGTGGCAGGACAAGTTTGTGCATGTTTCATGGAGATGCCACTTTTTTTCTCAAATATTTTTGATCCACTGCCTGCTGAACTGTGGAAGAACCCATAGATATAGAGGGTCAATTGTATTATTATTATTTAGAGCATTTTGCTCATTTGACCAATGACGACGGAACGTCAGTGTTTGAACTTGGCTGTTGGAGAGTCTGCATCGCATCGTATATAACCTACGTGTTCAGGGGTTGATGAGCTTGACCTCAGGTCTGTGCCTGATCTATGCAGTAAGTAAGCAAGACTTACTGGTATTACTTCAGAGGAAGGTTTCCGTCACGGTTCTTATACACATCTGAGTTTTCTTTATTTTTTCTTTGCAGCTTCTTCATCAGACAGTCGCCTAAGTGGTAAGTACTTTGAAAAGGTAGTCTTGTATTTGTTTATAATTTTCCCTTTGTAGTTATTTCTGACACAATAAATGCTGCCTCATTAAATATTAATGAGCAATGTGAGGGATGCACTGAAGAAACTGTGTCCCTTCCAGACATGTAAAGGCAGTAGAAACTTCTAGTAGCTGTAGCATAAACGGGCCATGTGGTATTACAATCACATTCTTCAGTTTTGTTTTGCTCTGTCTCAAATTTCGGTGTATGTTAGAATCAAATAGAATTCTTGAACGCAGGTCTTGGGATCTACCTCCCTCCCTCAAGACAGCCTGACTTGGACACCTGACATGGGACCTGCAAAACTGTAGACTTTTGCAGAATGATATGTAAGGCTAGTCTGGCCTCCATACTTTGGCAAGCTTCTCCTGCTTGACTCAGGACTGATTGAGGCTTTGATATTTGCAATGTAGTTATAGGCGCATGACTTTGCTAGGACTTTATAAAGAAAGGAGATGTATGTTCATATTTTATTTGATTATTTACTTATTTAGTTCTTGAGGCTTTTGTAGCCAGGATGATCTTGAACTCCTGATCCTTCTGACCCTATTTTCCCAGTGCTGAGATTCCAGGAGTGTGCCACCATGCCCAGTTGTATATACATTTTAAGGATGCCCACTCTTGTTTACTGTATCTGAAATGACTGTGTACTTCATCTCCAACCCATTCGCTTTAATCTCTTTTTCAATAAGTCACTTTGAACAAGACCTTGGGTAGGGCTGATGGGCAAGGCTGAACCACACGTCCCCTGACAGGATCGTACATTGAGGCTGAAGCCAATTTCGTGACTTGCAGAAGACCATTTCTAAGTAGTGAACCTTTCTCTAAAATGAATTTGGGTTTCTCTTTAGGTCGGTGGATCACAGGGTCTACAGAGCACGGTAAGGCTTTTCCCTTCTGCAATGAATCCCAAATTTCAGTTACTGATTGGGATGCCCAGTGCTGCTGTTGGCTCTGGACACCAAGTGCAACTTTAGCTACAGAAATCAGGGGTAGAGTAGACATGAGAGATGTGGTGCAAAGCTGCTGGCACATCCCAGATGCACACTCTGCCAACCCCATCAGCCCTTCTTCTTCTTTCTACCCTTCAGTCACTTGATGGATGACATTAGCTTTAGCCTAGTCTCAGAAGAGTTAGCTGAAAACAGTGTTTCTTCCTTTGTACAAGAAGGAGAGTTCTCTCAAAGGTAAATAACATCAAAGCTAATAACTTGTCCTATACCTTGTGCACTACATACAAATTTAAAATAGGGCTAGAGAGATAGCTCTGTTAAGAGTGGGTGCTTCTCTTGCAGAGTACCTGAGTTCAGTTCTGACCACCTAACTCAGGTATTTCACAACTGCCTATAACTCCAGCTATGGAGGATCTGACGCCTTCTTCTGGCCTCCATGGGTACCTGCACTCACATGCACGTACCCTGCCCATTCATATAATTAAAAATAAGAAGCTGGGTGTAGTGGTGCACACCTTTAATCCCTTCACTCGGGAGGCAGAGGCAGGCAGATCTCTGTGAGTTCAAGGCCAGCCTGGTCTATGTAGTGAGTTCCAGGACAGCTGGGGCTACAGGGAGACCCTGTCTCAAAAAGACCAAAAAAAAAGAAAAAAGAAACACAT